ATTGCTTTGAGAGAGGAAAGCATGTTGCATTTTATTTTATTGATTTTTCAAATATTCTGTTTACTGATGTTGCCTCACATTAAGAGCTTGATGGACATATAATCGAAACTCAAACTTAAGTACAAAGAATATACTACACAAAGAGAGATAAATTATACTTTTATATCGATTGCTTTCATAGAGGAAAAAGGGGCGGTCGGGTAGCCTAGTGGTTGAAGCGTTCGCTCGTCACGCCGAAGACCCTGGTTTGATTCCCGACATGGGTACAATGTGTGAAGCCCATTTCTGGTGTCCACCGCCGTGATATTGCTGGAATATTGCTAAAAGCGGCGTAAAACCAAACTGGGAAATTCGAAAGGGTTGTTTTGTTACAATGTTGTTGATTAATATCTACTCTAACTTATTAAAATACCGTGGACTCGGGAAACCCCGGTAACATACTCTATTACAGACACCCCGGTTGTCTGTGAACCTCGCTAGTCCAGAAACTCCATAAATCCAGAAACTCCATAAATCCAGAAACTCCATTAGTTCAGAAACTTCGCTCGTCCAGAAGCCGCACTTGTAAGGACCACTTATATACCAGAAATCACGTTAGTCCAAAAATCCCTTTAGTCAAGAGCTCTCACCAGCCCAAAACCTTGCTAGTCCAGAAACCTCACTTGTCTAGAAACTTCGCTAGTTCAGAATCCCCATTAGTTAGGTGAAGGAGTGAGTGGTTTTACGTCGCTTTAAGAAATATTCTAGCAATATCACGTCGAGGGACACCAGAAATGGGCTTCACACATTGTACCTATGTCGGGAATCGAACCAGGGTCTTCGGGGTGACGAGCGAACGCTTTAACCTCTAGGCTAACCGACACACACACACACCCCCCCCCCCCCCCCTCCCACCTCCATTTTGTTAAGAAAACCAGAAAAAATGTCTGTACTTATACTGCTCCATTCAATACACAAGGTACATGCTCAAAGCGGTAACAGGTCAGTGGATGAGTGTGCAGTCATTTTTATTCTCAACTTCCTGCGGAGTATACAACCCAAGCTGCCTTGTCAGGCGATTGAAGGTTAACAGTCATATTAAACTCTCACCCCACCGGGTACCCATGTTACTGCTTGATGACCAGAGGCATATACCGAACAAAGTTCCTTGCCTGGGTGTTCCAAGCCGTAATGTTGCCGAAAAGTGCTTGCAAAGGCAAAAACCTGTACAGTGATCACTCACGGAGGGATGATCAATTATTTAACGTCGCCGGGTCTACAGACCATTTCCTCATAAGCCAACGAACTCTCTGTCGTTGTGTGACATTAAGAGAGGATTACTGTAGATAATCTAGCTTCACCAAGTCTCCATCCAGTGTCGTTAAGCACTGGTTTTTGTATCCACTGAGCAGGCACCGGACACGTAGAGAATACTATTTATTTGGCTCCACTTTGGAATACAATAAATGATTTGAAACAAGAAAACGATCACAGAACATTATTTTTCTGAAAGGAAATAATTCGCTTTGCAAACGTTTTGTTTGTCTGAATTACATCGGTACAGTGAAATCAGGTTGAATATTATCGTTGAGGATAACATACATATCCCCGTAGGCTGTCACACATACCCTGATACAAATATATCCAATACAGCCCATGCAAGTCTATAATGATTGCAAGTCTAGATTACTGCAGTATCAGGCAACGAAGAGAGTCTCTGGGCTCCTTTTTATTATACTTTTATTACGAAAATTTAACACCTGTCTTTTTTCTGTAAGATATGTTCATTTCAGAGACTAGATGTAAGTCTTATATCCCCGACCAGACGAGTTTTACAACGGCTATCCCCTGCCCCCCCGGGATCCGAAGTTTTATTTTCCTGACGTTCTTGTTCATGAAATATGTGCTCAAACGCCAGCGCTGTGTGCATTCGGGTTGCGCAGCACTGGATTTACCTCTAAGTATAAAATTACATGTAGAATATTAAATATTATATGTGAATGTGCTGACTTGATTGCAGATGTAAGAGGAGGATATCATATATTATATATATTCCCGTCTAGACGAGTTTTACGAGGTGAATTCTTTAATATTCTGTGATAATCGATCAGGATGGGAAGCCCATTATGTTAATGTCAGCCTGACTTCAATAAGAAACGCAGCTCAGCACTTCTTTGCGCAACCGAATGTGTTTGTGGATGGGCATCACGTGAGTTACTGGGTCGTGCTGATTTCAGGTGAGGTCAGGTGAGATTTGGTTTAACGTCGCGTCCAAGATTATTGCACTTATATAGCGACATGCATGGACGTGTGTGTGGCTGCTTGTACTAGTCCGGACTGATGCCGATTGATAGTGCTAGCTCACTGAGATACCATGCCACAGTTTAACTTGAATACCCTACTCAGACACAGTATACTGACTCCGAGCCGACCAGTCCTTGTTTAAGCCCCTCAATGCCGAGCGCCAGACAGGGTAGCTGATTTCAGGAAAAAAATGTTAAATTTGTGTTATGCGCCATTTCTGAAACATCTTTCTGAACACCTGGTGTCATCGCTGATTTTCAGGGATCCATTCATTCAATGTTCCCCACTTTTTAGTCTTTTACGCCCTATGGCATCTGTTTCGGCATATAAAAGGTGAGGTGAGTGAAATGGGGTTTAACGTCGCGTCCAAGATTATTACACTTATATAGCGACGTGCATGTACGTGTATGTGTTTGTGTGGCTGCTTGTACTAGTCCGGACTGATGCCGATTGATAGTGCTAGCCTACTGAGATACCATGCCGCAGTTTAAAAGAAATAACCCACTCAGACACAGTATACTGACTCCGAGCCGACCAGTCCTTGTTTTAGCCCCTTAATGCCGAGCGCCAGACAGGGTAACAACAAGTACAACTTTTTAACGTCTTTTGGTATGACGCGGCCGGGGTTCGAACGCCGGACCTTCCGCTCTCCGGACCACTAGACCACGGAGGCGGTCCAGATTATAGAGATTGTGTATTTATTATCTGGAGTTGACGTGTTATATTATGTTTTAAAATGAGTATGATATACATACGAATGTTGCTTTGCTATCTATATAGGGCTGTGGGGTAGCCTAGTGGTTGAAGCGTTCACTCGTACCGTCGAATCGAAGACCCGGGTTCGTGTCCCCGCATGGGTACAATGTGTGAAGCCCGTTTCGTTTATGGTGTCCCCCGCCGTAATGTTGATTGAATAATGCTGAAAGCGGCGTAAAACCATATTCACTAACTAACTTTTATCTGTATTTTATAGATAGCACTGACGAAGTAGTAAAATGTTATTATGTCCTTCAGTGTGAAAGAGTTTTCTGAAGTTGAGAGAAGTGATATTTTCATTTCATTGAACATAGCACTTGATTTTTCACTACAGTGAACATAACACTTTGAGGGAAGTATTTTCATACAAGAGTTATCTCCCCGCAAATTATGTCCCCTTTATCGTACACGAACTGTGAATTTCATATTTACGTTCCACACTGACATGACAAAATAATGACAGATGGAGTTAATATCGCCTCTTGCCGTTTGTGTGTAAAACGTCTCTGTTTGTTGGGTAGGGGGAATTTATGTTTGAAGCTTTTATATGTGTAATGAAATAATTTAATTGTCTGGTAGACATACTTAAACATCACTTTCCCCGTCATTCCATAAGAGAAACATGGTATTTCACTCGACACTTGAAATATCCCATTTATCATATTTATAAATGGCGTTCAAAATGGTGTGAAAGAAACCTCCGTCGCAACCGATTAATTAATGACGGCATCCCGACGGGTGGTGGGGAAGCACAGTGGTTTTACTTCTTCCCGAGGCAGGAGAGTTAACTGACTATAAAAGTCCAGTTTCCACCCTTGCCGAACTAGGCTGATATTATGGAGTTATAGTTATATTTTGGCTGGACTAACGAGTCTATGCACAGGCCAATCAAAGCGCGCAACGAAATCGAAATCCGGTTCGCAAACTGTAATGCAGATTTCGGTCGATTGCAGGATTTGCCAGGCATGTGCACCGCCAACTCGTTGTCAACAGATATTTTCATGTTTCGAATCAAGTTGCTCACGTGATTTGATGCATTTCGCGATGTAAAACCCGTTTTATCACAATATAGATATTGATTATCGATCAGATCGTCCTGACTGGGCGCCGCCATTTTGTTTGAAGCAAATGCAAGTGACACGAGAGGTGGAATCTTATTTGTCAATAGGAGAGGCATAGAAGGGATATAACTCGTAATAGCCACTGGTGGCGCTACGATAGACCCCAGTTATTCCAGTCGAGTTCGACAAGGGTGGAAACTGGACATTTAAAGTCAGTTAACTCCCTTGGCTCGGTTTTAAGGATCGGCTGAATTTTTTCAGTTCTTTGAGGTGCGAATCGAAAAACCAATATGCAAACTGTATGAATCCCTAGGCACATTGCTTTTTCGATTCATACCTCAATCAGCCGAAAAAAATCCGGTCAATCCTTATAATCAAATTCGGCATCAGTAGCATGTGTTATGTATAATAGATTAACGAAAAACAAGTATATACTAATAAATCAAAGCAGACGAAAATGACGAGACTGATAAACATTTCTGGCGTATGAATACATACTGTGGTGTGACAAAAATCAGGTGATTGTTTAATTTATGCACATAGCTTGACACGCCCACAAAGTCAGCAACCAATCAACAGAGAGTAGCATCAAACAATGTTCAAAGGACCTATCAATCAAGGCAATAGGCGAGAAGAACAGTCAGACTGTAACGAACCGGGACAAATGTATCCAGGAAATGGCAGCTGTTTGAAATGACTTGATCTGTAACCACCAGATTCAATCATTAGTTGCCTGAGAACGGGAAGACGAGTTGGAAAATGCGGGTGAGAAATGAAACCCAATGATATGAAATTTGTGGAAGCCGGGCGAGCGAAAAAAACAACAAAAGTCGAGAGAGCCTTCGGTCACGAATGGTAGTTTTCGCTAAATGGTCCAATGCATAACTCCCACTCTCCTACCCAGAGTTCCTTGCGGTCGGCAGCCAGCACAGTACCTCTGCCACAGGCCAGCGCCATGTGACGATTCGTCAAATCTTAGACAGTCCATTCAAGATATTGCATATGTTTTTCATCCGTTTCATTATTGACGAGACTACGCATTGTGATAAACAAATGTCATAGAATGGTTACCTTTCATTAAGAAAGTATCCTTAAACATGAAAATCTGCTTCCATTTGCGTAGTTAATCTTTGTTTTCATTGGTTGCACGTGCTGTCATCGAAACCTTACGGGAGCAAGCGATACGGTCAAGTCGTTGATGTGTTAAGTCAAAGTGGCCGTACAAACAGTGGAATCCGATATCTTGTCACTCACCTCGAGCTCACTGTCGCAGTTGTTGTAGCATATCTATATAACTATGCAAAACAATATATAAAGCGCACCGAAAGAGTTGGAATAGGCCAGTATGTTCTGATTTTAGAATACGCGCGTTTGTTTACAAACAAGAGAAATGTCTGGTCACGTGATATGCAAATTAGCCTGTGGCAGCAGTGTAATGCTGTCACCACTGGGTCGGAGTGTGAGGGAATTCCCTCAGCTGTTATTGGGATTCCCCGACATTCCGTAGTGGTGAAAGTCGCTTCGATGGGCGTGGCTTAACTGTTTACATTTATTGGGAAATGAATGCAATAACACGTGACCAATTCAGCTAATCAGAATGCAGAAATTGCAATGAAATTGTGATTGCCTCGTCACGCCGAAGACTCGCGTTCGTTTACTCACATGGATATAGTGACAGAAATATTGCTTATAACGGCTCAAAACATACTCACTCTCTCAATCGAGCTGGAGGCAGTGAAGGTGCAGACAGACGGGGTTAAAAGATTGTGTAGACACTATTATGCAGATGTAAACAATAAATCTGTGTCCGACTTTCTGGCGACAGTCGTAATGTGGTGCATCCTTCTATTAATCTCCCTATTTCTGACGCAGGGCAATTAAAGGGGAGGGGTGGGGGATGGGGTTCCGGGGCAGTATACGCATCCAGTAGTCATGTTTGTCTCCCTGTGTGGTTCTGGGGCAGTATAGGCCTTCAGTAGTCATGTTTGTCTCCCTGTGTGGTTCTGGGGCAAAATAGGTCTCCAGTAGTCATGCTTGTCTCCCTGTGTGGTTCTGGGGCAATATAGGTCTCCAGTAGTCATGTTTGTCTCCCTGTGTGGTTTTTGGGCAAAATAAGTCTCCAGTAGTCATGTTTGTCTCCCTGTGTGGTTCTGGGGCAATATAGGTCTCCAGTAGTCATGTTTGTCTCCCTGTGTGGTTTTTGGGCAAAATAAGTCTCCAGTAGTCATGTTTGTCTCCCTGTGTGGTTCTGGGGCAATATAGGTCTCCAGTAGTCATGCTTGTCTCCCTGTGTGGTTCCGGGGCAAAATAGATCTCCAGGAGTCATGCTTGTCTCCCTGTGTGGTTCCGGGACAGAATAGGTCTCCAGTAGTCACGCTTGTCTCCCTGTGTGGTTCCGGGGCAAAATAGATCTCCAGGAGTCATGCTTGTCTCCCTGTGTGGTTCCGGGACAGAATAGGCATCCAGGAGTCATGCTTGTCTCCCTGTGTGGTTCCGGGGCAATATAGGTCTCCAGTAGTCACGCTTGTCTCCCTGTGTGGTTCTGGGGAAAAATAAGTCTCCAGTAGTCATGCTTGTCTCCCTGTGTGGTTCTGGGGCAAAATAGGTCTCCAGTAGTCATGCTTGTCTCCCTGTGTGGTTCTGGGGCAAAATAGGCATCCAGTAGTCATGCTTGTCTCCCTGTGTGGTTCTGGGGCAGAATAGGTCTCCAGTAGTCATGCTTGTCTCCCTGTGTGGTTCTGGGGCAAAATAAGTCTTCAGTAGTCATGCTTGTCTCCCTGTGTGGTTCCGGGGCAAAATAGGTCTCCAATACTTATGATTGTCTCCCTGGGGTGGGGGACACCCCGGGGTAGATTAGGACCCAAGTACCCCATACATGTCTCCGCGTGGACTTCCCGGGCAGAACTATTATGACATCACGAGGGTCCGCTGTCTGTAACAGTTACATATTACCATCACAGAATAGGATTTACAAATTAAAATCCCAAAATATATTTATTCATAGAAGCGCGATACACCAATTATTAATGATACATATTTATAGATATCCGACAGTTGTTTTTCTTTTTGCATCACAAACGGCCGATATTAATATATACGACGTTCCTTTCATCGACAACAACCACGGTCTGACGTATTCGATCAGTTCTGTGACGGCTAGTGTTGGGAAAGTGACCATTTGTCCAACGGACTATTGACGGCATAATCCCGTTATTCTATATTCATAGCAGGATCTCAAAGGTCGGACGTATCTATTACAGCTGTGGACGATGTTATGTGACGTAGGAATGCAGTATAGGAAGCCAGACACACATCATTTATTCTTGCATTATTTTACGCCGCACTCAGCAACATTCCAGTTATAAGACGGCGGTCGGAACATAACCGAGTCTGGATCAGACAATCAAGTGATGCATCAACCAAGTCAGCGAGCCTGACCACCCGATCCCGTTAGTCGCCTTTTACGACAAGCATAGTCGCCTTTATCGGCAAGCATGGGTTGCTGAAGACCTATTCCACCCCGGATCTTCACGGGCCGTGATATAATGTATTCACATAAACCTGATGTGAAAATTGAAGCGAGTTCAATATTATACTTATTACTGCTGTTGCAATTTGAAGAGGAATGAACAAAAAAAAATAGCTTTTGTAATCTCTGAATAGCGACACAGAGAAAGGTCTAAGTTAGTGTTGGTTAACATTGATTGCATGACGCTGTAAAATAATAAGGGCTTAAGTGCACGAGATCATCCCTTAGTAATGGCTTCTACGTTTTTCAGACGCCATTTATGTCGCCTCGCTTGAATTAAATACGTTCGTTACTAAATTATTTACCAAAGAATATACAACATACAACGTGTTCGCTGCAATGTTGCTGATGAGATTGTGGCACGCCATGATGGAACGCCCTATATCAAACCGCGTGGTTGAGCTACTATATTCGACTTAAGTTGATATAATCTGTAATTTTCGGGGTTGTGCTACTATATTCGTCTTTGTTTTGATATATATCGGCAAGTATCGGGGTTGAGCTACTATATTCGTCTTTGTTTTGATATATATCGGCAAGTCTCGGGGTTGTGCTACTATATTCGTCGTTGTTTTGATATATATCGGCAAGTCTCGGGGTTGAGCTTCTATATTCAACATGTGTTGAAACTCTCAGGGTTGTGTTACTACATTCGACCTATTTAGATATCCTGTTGGCACGAGATGCGAGGGTGAGATTCTCGGCCCACTTCTCCCTTGGACCCGCCACTGAGGGACGCTACAGAATGCATGTCCCGTCGAAGGAAGACCCATTGCATTATTGGAACTTAATGAAGAACTTCTTGTATTTGGATAATGGCTTAAAAATGATAAACTATTTAAAATATTTACTAATATATTTCTTCATGGAAAATTACTTCACGTACGGACATAACAGCAATAACTGAATTCAAGAACAGCAAGAGCTGAATTCGTTAAATGACAGGTACCATGATTTATAGTGCGCCACAGTTTACCTGTAATGGCGGTTTGATGTATTGACGTAAATGGCATTTCCACTACATAGCACCACCATTAGAAACAATTATTTCGAGAAACGGAACTCTTTGAGAAAGGTTCCAATATGGGTAGAAACATTCAACCCTTGGCGACCTAAATCAATGTCCACACTTCAACGATATACCTCACACGAGGCACACGACTGTCCATGACAAATACGTTCTCAGAATAAACGGACAAATGGTAAAACAAATTGTTTGTAAACGTTCTGCCGTCAGCAATAGCGATGCTCAACATGGAAAGCTACTCGTTAGTTCTGTAATACGATCGGTGGGGCTGGGATCGAAGCGGCACAATGGTGTCGTGTGTTATATATTCCCGTGAAATACAAAGTTGCTGGGTCACCGATGTGGAACTCGTCAATGTTTGTCGATAATACCATTATTCTTTTGATTAGGCTGTTTGTTTCCTTTAACTCAGCAAAGTAATTGTCTGTTCAATTACACGTTTGGGTGAACTCGTGCCACGTGCACTGACTGTGTGAGAAAATAGGAATCTGTTGATAACTGACACAATGTAAGAATTTATAAAACGCCATTTTTGCAAACGAAATAGATAAACTGAATGATCAATGATTAGAACGTTGTTGCCATCCTCGCTTATCAGGATTTAGGCGACACTACACGCCTGTAGTTAATAACAATAAAACACGAAATGGTACGTATGGTCCTAGTCGGAAATAACCCAATCACACCCAACTTCCTGATATTTGCACCAATCCTTGTAAGGCAGAACTTCTTTCTCGCGGAGGCGGTCGGGTAGCCTAGTGGTTAAAGCGTTCGCTCGTCACGCCGAAGACCCGGGTTCGGTTCCCGACATGGGTACAATATGTGAAGCCCATTTCTGGCGTCCCCCGCCGTGATATTGCTGGATTATTGCTAAAAAGCGGCGTAAACCCATACTCAGTCAATCAAACAATCAACCTTCGTCACAAACAGGTGACGTAGATAGGTATGTCGATCCCTTGCAGCGTCAGTAATGCAACTATCTATCTATCACGAACCAGTGTCACCTCTGCTGTTGATGTAGTTTAGTCTGTGGTAGGCCATTATTATCATTATTATTATCATCACCATCATCATCACCATCACCACCACCATCATCATCATCGTCGTCGTTCATCATCATCATCATTATTATTGTTGTTATTATTATTATTATTATTATTATTATTATTATTATTGTGAATTTTACATAATCTACCCTGCTGCCGTATATGTTATTATATTTATGTATTTCATATGCCACAGTTTGTGGCCAGAAAAGCAAATATAGTAATGCTGTCATACGAATCTTGCTGAAAGTTGTATAATCAGGGATAAAACGTTCAAGGGCTCAGAAAAGCTTTCAAAAAGTGTTATTGTGGGAGACATTACAAATTTGACGCATCAGTGACAAAAATGATGTCCGTTGCAATTACCTATTTTGACTTTAACCCTATGTTCCCGTGTTTTTTCAGGTGAACAATTGACTCGTCTTTGCATGTGTTTGTGACGGGAGCAACTGGTGGGGCAGGATACGCTCACCTTTTCGAGAACACCTGCTATCCTTACTATTTGATAGCGATTCCTGAACACACGCTCATGATATAGCCGAAACCGTACAACGAGCTCTGCTTTTAAAAAGATGACTTATGATAATGAAAATATGTTTTTTTCGCCTTTTTTATGTAACAAAACCCATATCATTACATGCCAGCTATCCAGACCTGCTTGTCCACAAAGGGGCAGAACAGAGCGGACTAGGCTTTTTACTGTATTCGGGAACTGCGATCAGTGGGTCGATGTTCGTTATGATTGAGGCGGGGGCTTGGGTGGCCCAGTCGTCTAAGGCGCCGCGATTCGCTGTGCAGAGTTGCGCCCCTTGGGCACGCCAGAAACCTATGACTGTGGGTTCGAATCCCGGTTCGCCCCGATTATGTTTCAAGGTTTGTCAGCACCATACCCGTGCTCGTGGGTTTCACCGAAGTGGTAAACGTCTGAGACCTGCATCATTTCGGGCTTTCCTCCCACATTAAGCTGACACGCCGAGATATAACTGGAATACTGTTAAAAGCGGCGTTAAACCCAACTCACAAACTCATGATTGAGGCTTACAGGACCCATTCTACAATATCCATTTGGATTGTTGACAGGCTGCAACAAACAAACACATACTTTTTTATGTTAATAGTGTGGCGGGTGTTACCGTTCGAGCAGGCCATGCATACCTTTGTTGTCAACATCTGGTGTTTTTCAGTGACCCATTCAGATTATTTTCATCACTATTTTCCCGATATAACCGAGACTGATTATTCTTTGGCGTCGAATTTTGATACCTACGTACCAATGATCTGTTTATCCGGACACTTGTTACTCCGGACAGTTTGGCTGTTCGGATTAAGAGGGTTTAATCTACGATCTGGTGTAGCGCATTGGCAAAAGGTAGTCATTGTACAGAGGAGAATACCGACCAGGGCGTACAGTACATGCCTAATCTCCCTACAAACCATAATACAAAGTTAAACTGTGCACAAAATGCCGTTTAAACATGTCCCTGTATATTATATCATCATCTATTCGCCTACACATAAAACAGCGAATTGGAGAGATGGTATTAGCGCAGCCTTCGACAGTATTTCAGTAATGTCATAATTGGCCTCTTATTGTGGGAGGACCCTCCAACGCGACGAAGGCCTTAGACATCTAAACTTTAAGGTAGCACTATCATCTCCACACAGTGCCTTAGTTTCATTAGCGTCATTCCAGTAAGTGCTGTGAGCAGGTGCTCGAGTTGCGTCGAGCTTGTCAAAGAGACAGAGGGAACGGTAACACATGGAGAAGGAACGCTTTTGTGTGGAGAGGGGACGCTACACCATGGAGAATAAACCTTATAATATGGAGGGAGAACGCTAAAAATAATTGAAGAGGGAACGCTATAGAATGGAGAGTTGAACGTTGTATTATGGAGAGAGGGCGCTATAATATGGAGAGGGAACGCTATAATATGGAGGGGAACGTTGTATTACGGAGAGGGGAACGTTGTATTATGGAGAGGGGAACGTTGTATTATGGAGAGGGGGCGCTATAATTAGGAGAGGGAACGCTGTATTATGGAGAGGGGGCGCTTTAATATGGAGAGGGAACGCTATAATATGGAGGGGAACGTTGAATTATGGAGAGGGGAACGTTGTATTATGGAGAGGGGAACGTTGTATTATAGAGAGGGGGCGCTATAATAAGGAGAGGGAACGCTGTATTATGGAGAGGGAACGCTATAATATGGAGAGGGAACGCTATAATATGGAGAGGGAACGCTTTAATATGGAGAGGGAACGCTATAATATGGAGAGGGGGCGCTTTAATATGGAGAGGGAACGCTATAATATGGAGGGGAACGTTGTATTATGGAGAGGGGGCGCTTTAATATGGAGAGGGAACGCTATAATAGGGAGGGGAACGTTGTATTATGGAGAGGGGAACGTTGTATTATGGAGAGGGGAACGTTGTATTATGGAGAGGGGGCGCTATAATAAGGAGAGGGAACGCTGTATTATGGAGAGGGGGCGCTTTAATATGGAGAGGGGGCGCTTTAATATGGAGAAGGAACGCTATAATTTGGAGGGGAACGTTGTATTATGGAGAGGGGGCGCTATAATATGGAGGGGAACGTTGAATTATGGAGGCGGGGCGCTATAATATGGAGGGGGAACGTTGTATTATGGAGAGGGGGCGTTGTATTATGGAGAGGGGGCGCTATAATATGGACAGGAACGCTGTATTATGGAGAGGGCACGCTGTATTATTGGGAGGGGGCGCTGTTATATGGAGAGGGAACGCTGTATTATGGAGAGGGAGCGCTATAATATGGAGAGGGAACGCTGTATTATGGAGAGGGGCGCTGTAATATGGACCGGGAACGCTATAAAAGTATGGAGAGTGAACGCGATTAAATGGAGAGGGAACGGTGTACTGTGGAGAGGAAACGCTAGTCTATGGTTGGAGCTCAATAAATGGGAAAGTAACGGTATATTATGGAAAGGGAAGGATTTATTATTTCTTTCCAAAAGCAGAAAAGAACTTTCGTAAAAAACCCATTCGCGACAAAACAAACAATCTCATAAACATCTAAAATACAATGATTCTAGTTCAAACCCATCCGACAACGATGACGTTAAGAGACGTTGCTGGGAGCGGCGTTTACACCCGGACATAGTCTGTATCTACTGTCAATGCCGATAAGGACATGCACTCAGAGATGAAAAAAACCCTATTCCACTGAGAATCCCCTCAGTGATCAGAACAGCCAATTAATCGTGCATATATCTCATTTCAGTCACGATACTCCGCGTTCGTAGCTCCGGGTCGCTACCAACACATATTCAGAATTCATTAGCAGGGTGTATGTGTGTGTCGGGGGGATATGGAGGGAGGGGGACTTCAATTTATGACTGCCGGGATCACCTGACTCGATGGGGTAATGACAACTCTTGCACCTGCTTGACTGGATGATATATGTGAGAGAATAACTGATAGCAATAACCTTTAAAATTGTCCATTTCAGACAACACCTGCAGGACGCACCTTCCTGTCATCAAGCAACACGGATGGGGATACAATGTGCAACCATCCCCAGACATGGTGATCGTCCAACGGGAAGGGCCTGCTATCTGTATCCGGAGTCACCGGCTTTTACCGGAAGTGACCCAGTGCCACATTTCCTTGAAAGAAGTGGAAGCAGCAACCAGCTTTGTTAGCATCTTCCCTCGCGACCCATTAAGCACGAGTGCGAGTTGACAAGTGTTGTGCATTGGGGTCAAGGGGAGACTTGAGGCTATTCGATAAAAGCTTCCAAAGTCTATAATTTTGTGCTTTGTGTAAGTGACTGAGAGCGGTTAACGGTGCTGCTTGGCGAGGAATATATAACCAGACAGGCCATGGTTGCCAATACCCTACAGGGAGACGAACAAAGGAAGAGCAGGGCGAGAGCTTCAAACAAAACCCAGTCTTAATGCGAGCGAGTGACGTCCGTCTTGAACCAGATTAGTACCAGGCAACGTATGTCAATACATTGAAGGGTCTAGCGCTGATGAAGTGCACTTGTTTGTTAAGAAACAATCATTTGAATTTCCGCTTTCCGGGAACAATAATGGTGTCGATTAGTGTCATTAAAACGTGTGTTAAGTGTGTGCTTGGGAAGATAGCTCTTGGAGAGGTTTTTTTATAAAAAAAAACCTTTTGTCGTCGTCCCCAACACAACAAATGTCTCACGAGATCACCTCTTGCCATTAACGCTATACCTCATCTGCTAGTTCGGAACAATTAATGTATATATATATGGACATGGTACTTCCTTGTACGGATTAAAGATCGGTACGTGACCGGTGAAGGTTTATTCAAGGACTTATCAAATTTACGTGTGTGCAGGACGTGAATATTCTTACATTCATCCGCGGATATACACACTGAAACACGCCACGTTCCGTTGCAACGCTGGAATGACCTGCTATATTATCAAGGTGTTTAAGGCTTGTGCCCAAGGTATTTGTTCAAGGAGTGTGCCAAAGGCATTTATTCAAGGCGTGTAATCCAAGTCATTTATTCAAGGCGTGTATCCAAGATATTTGTTCAAGGCGTGTATCCAAGGTTGTTCAAGGCGTGTATCCAAAGTTTGTTCAAGGCGTGTATCCAAGGCATTATTCAAACTCTTCAAGTTTCTGTATTCTGCTGAGTCATTGAGCATCACTGAGATCTTTTGTACCACTGAAGTCTTCCGTCTCCGCGTTCACGGCGTAGTCCGACAATGCTATTCATGTTTTTAGAATATCTTTGAAACATTGCATTCGGGATAAATGTTTGACACACTTCAAGATACCGCACAAGGCTTGTCTGAAGAGAAATGTGGCATGTTTAAAAGCATCATGATTGCAGGAGACCCTAACGACTGTGCCGTGCTATTTTCGTACACATAGGTGTTTTAACATTCAAACTGAAGAGGAGGAAAATTATACATAGGAGGATACCACATAACTAACACGGACGTCACAACTGACATTTAGAGACAACATATAAAAATATTGTCTTCTCAAGATATCGCAATAACACCGGATAAGTGAGTTTGACAAGGATTAAAAACTGACTCCTAGATGTATGTTGCAATTTTTTAAAATGTCAGACGTTCCGAAGCTGTCAATAGAACACGAGATTTAATTAGTTGATTTTGCAACCAGTGGGATTACATTAATGACGAATGCACTTTTATTGAATTCCAAATGGTCAGATTATTATCGTGCAAAGATACCTCACATCGCCTGCTAAAGAGCTGGGAAATATCAACAGGCGTTGTAAAGGTTGTCTTGAATAATTCCTCCTCCAACACAATGAATCAGTGAATAATGAAATCTTATCAGAATTGATGGATATCGAGCCTGTGGAATGTGCAATTCATTTGATGAGGAAATTCCCTGAGTCTTGAGTGTTTATATTTAACTGAAGTTGACGGTTTGCCACTACAGACCAGAGCGCTGCTCAATACGGATTCTGGCCCACGAAATGGTGCATTGACAAGACTTAAGGTTGTATCCAATTAAACCAGACAGGATTTTCAATCGTATAAGCTCAAAGTTGGAACGAATGCTAAACCATGTGTTGATAAATGCCTAAAAATGCGCAAGCTGTGTCCAGAAACATCTAGAGTGTGGAAATATGACGGCCGTGTAGAGTAACACAATAATATCACATCTGGATGAGAAGAAGTCTATCATATCACATCCATGGCTACAAACGTCCCGGTGAGTGAGTGAGTCACAGTGTGAGTGAGTGAGTGAGTGAGTGAGTGAGCTCCGATGGGGTGTCTCCTCACTCTCATAATGAACAGCTCACGGAACATAACGTCGTCGATGCCGCCGGAACAGACGCTGATATACACCATTGCGATGATTCTCAACACCTTCATCCTCCCCGTCATCGTCTTCACAGGCCTGGTGGGGAACACCGTATCTTGCATGGTGTTCGTCGGCAAGGATCTACGCCGCCTCTCCTCCAGCGTTTACGTCCTCGCCGTGCTCATCTCCGACACGGGGACGTTGTTGTCCCTGCTCTCAGTGTGGCTGGAAGTTCTCGGATTTCAAATAAATCATATGCAGGGTATATGTCAGCTGTTCGTCTACCTGACCTATGTGTGTAGCTTCCTTTCTGCTTGGTACATGGTGTGTATAACGGTGGAGAATTTCATTACGATCTGCCACCCCATGAAGGTGAAGGTTATGTGTACAAAGAACCGCGCAAGCGCAGTTGTGGTTATACTAGCTGCAGCCGCCATGCTTATGTACAGCGTCACTGTGATCACGACTCAGGTGCGGACGGATGCTTATAACAGACAGCTGTGTCATCAGAACCCGGACTTCGACTTCTTGGTGTCCGTGTATACGTATGTTGATTCCATAGTGACCCTTCTACTTCCGGTGTCAAGTATAGGGTTTATGCTCGTGGCCATGGGCTTCTCTATAGCGAATACGGTTCGATGGAGAAAAAACAGTCCACGGACTGACAGCGCACGGAGATGTATTAAAAGTCCGCAAGTCCGAGTGACAAAGATGCTGTTTGCACTTTCAACGACATTTTTAATAATGAATGCTCCCTTGCATTGCATGAGACTGTACTACCTTCTCAGGGACAGTGCCAATGTCCCCACGCAGATGTCCCACACTGCAGGGCTGGTGCATCTTTTTCTGCTGTTTATCTCCTACTCGCATTGTGCAGTGAAGTTCTTCCTGTTTATTGGGTTCAGTAAAAACTTCAGAAAAAGTTTGAAAGAATCGGGATGCATGTTTTCCGCTTGTACAAAAGACGTGAACTCTTCAAGTCAAGTCTACGTATAGACCGGTTCAAAGCCTGCCCAATCCACAAGTGTTTACTATTTGGCTTTTATTGTCTCCAGACTAATGAGGTTTAACTGTATACCATTGTCATGGCAACTGTTTCATCATAGCATTGTTCTGGAAGGTGAGGTGAAATGGGGTTTAACGGCGCGTCCAAGAGTATTTCACTTGTATAGCGGCGTGCATGACGTGTGTGTTTGGCTCCTTGTACTAGTCCGGAGTGATGCTGATTTATAGTGCTAGCCCACTGAGATACCATGCCGCAGTTTAACATGAATACCCCACTCAGACACAGTATACTGACTCCGAGCTGACCAGTCCTTGTTTTAGCCCCTTAATGCCGAGCGCCAGACAGGGTAACAACAAGTACCATCTTTTAACGTCTTTTGGTATGACGCGACCGGGGGTCGAACCCCGGACCTTCCGCTCTCCAGGCGGAAGCTCTACCACTAGACCACATGAAAACATATGAAGAAATAAGCAGGCCCCCTTACTTCTTCATATTTTGATAGACAAAGAATTTGTTTATGATGGAGAAAGAGCAAATAACAGTACATGATGTCGCTAAAAGTTGCTTAATGGCAATGTATTTATCAAACATCTATGTTCATTGAATCATTGGAGAATACCATCCTTTTCTTCATGTAAATGAATAATCTCATTTGATACAATTTGACAATATAAACTGCCGGGCAAAGTTAAGTACACCCATGTCTGAACGTGGCTAAAAATGAACAAACACGAAATGGTTATTCGACGGTGATATATTTGATGCTGGTATTATGGTTTTTGGACCTAAAGGTTGGATTGTTCAGGCGACTGTTTTAACGTTTGTAATTTTTTGATTAAAATAAATTTCTAGGTATAAACCTTTTGCCCGGCAGTGTATTACCATGGTGGCATGTGTTGTATTCCATACTTACAATATACGCAGTATATAGACATTGCAAGTTCCTATGTACTGTGTAGGCGCCTTTCGGCTATGTACACGTATTTGGTCAGTAAGAAATCATAAACATTTATTGGTTTTGAAATGTAAACTCGTTTTGTTTACTTTTTGCATGACTTACGGGAAAAGTGGAATGTTTTATGCTAATTGTGCTATTCATATATACAGTCAAACATCGTTGTGTCGAACTTTGATGTGTCAAGCGTACGCTTGTCTCGAAGTAAACACTTGGTCACTGCATATTCCTTCTTAATTCATCAGTTGTCGGTTGTGTCGAACCTCGGCTAACTCGAAGTATTTATATAGGTCCCTTCATCTGCGACACAACCGTGTTCGACTGTAGGCGTTTTGAATATGTTTTTTATGTGTAACAAAGCATTAAACAACATATGTACCAGAGAGACGGGCGTGGTCAATTTAACTTTCAGTTACAAGGACAGTGAACATGTTGGAGGTATGGGACACGGGGATTCCTATTTCCCACACCACTGGTCTGTTAATTGTGGGGTCGAATCCCGGGCTTCGACATCACCTGTTTAGTGTTTTAACAGAATGTTCAACATCTATGACCTGTGCCAATTCGGACTTTCCTACCACATCAATCGGTCAAACCGTGATAAAACTGAAAGGATGTTAAAAGTGGCGTCAGATCCATTCTCACACATCACTCACTCTTTTTTGGCTGCATTTTGAGTTGCGTCGCTTTGCCAATCACGGATCCGCTGATGTTGATTCCAATTTTATACTCTTCTCTTCGTTTGAAATGAATTTCTCCATTTTGGCAATCGCTGTGGACCTGCACATGCTGTATAACTGAAATATACTACTCAAAAGAGGTTTTGTGTTTTACAGTGTTCTTTAACTTCTTTTGAGTAGTATACTATTCAAAGCAACGCAAAACCACTGACTTACTTACATGTAAGTACTGCTTGAACCACGGACGGCGCCTCAAACCCACTCAAAATTCAATATTTTTGAAGTGAGTGATTTGCTTTCAACAAGGTATTATTCTGATGTTATAAACAAGAGTTACAGTTTGCATTTGTTACACTGCCACGCAGAAGTTATATACATTATTTTCACAACCCGTATACAACGCAAACAAAGCGGAAATACTGAGGATTATCCGAGGATATTTGCGAAATCCCCTTTTGTAGTTGGTGAGGTGAAACTGGTTTTAACGTCGCGCCCAAGAATATTGCACTTATATAGCGACGTGCTTGCACGTGTGTGGCTGCTTGTACTAGATGGGACTAATGACGATTTATAGTGCTAGCTCATTGAGATACCATGCCGAAGCTCAACATGAATGCCCAACTCAGACACAGTATACTGACTCCGAGCCGACCAGTCCTTGTTTTAGCCCCTTAATGTCGAACGCCAGACAGGGTAACAACAAGTATACCATCTTTTAACGTCTATTGGTATGAACCCCGGACCTTCCGCTCTCCGGGCGGACGCTCTACCACTAGACCACGGAGGCTGTCTTCCCCTTTTGAAGGACCACGGACCTATCCACAAGTCCCTGGTAGGACTAATTAGTCTTGTGGTCCGTGGACATCGGTACCGGCATTGGGTAGGATGACATGCTATATCCCATAACGTTTTACCATAGTCTAGGATTAACTGAAACAGTTATATTTTAATACCACACCATTCATCCATGAATCATATAACTTCAACTTTTAAAGGAATTCAAATCAGAAGTACAGTAGATTGGTCAAGAACAAATAATGAATGACCTACACATTATAATTTACAAATAACTGTCAGTGTTATCAGCTACTGTTGGTATTGTTTCATTGAGCAAAGAATTATTGTGTCGGCCATCTTTCAGCTTTAGACTAGACGCCGAATACGTGCTCGTCCGATTATGGAATGACTACTACACTCTTCAAAAATTAAAGAGAAACGCACAGGTAGTATGCAGTTCATTGAACCTGACTAAACAAAAATCCGGTATATAAATTGGATATATATTATTGGAAGATGTTGGTGGCTTTTTCAAAAAGCAAAATGCACGTGCAAGTTATTACATTCGTACCTTGTGGTAGTTGCTATTAAAAAGGCAAGCATAAACCAATATTTTGTCATTCAATTGTCACCATTTTTCAAGTTCGAAAATGCCGAGACTCCGATCGGAACATCGCCGTAGGACGCATCCAAAGAGGGGAATCGCAGTCTTATGTTGCACGCCACAGCACCATTTGCCGCCTTTGTGACCGATGCACACAGTTCAATTCCACTGCAGACCGCCTGAGAACCGACCGATCGAGAGTTACCACCCCTGCACAGGATCGCTACATTCGACTGTTCCACCTACGTCATCGCAATGCCACAGCTACGGAGACTGCAGGACGCACCCCTGGTTTGAGGAGGATATCGGACCAGATTGTCAGGAACCATCTCCGCGAGGCTGGAATCGGACCATGAAGAACAGTTATCGTCGGACTCCCTGTTTTGCAACAGATCCATCGACAGCGACGCTTGCGTTGGTGCCATACCTTACACCTTTGGAATTTGAGAAACTGCATACGATTTCTTCTTCACCGGCGAGATGGAAGTGAGTGAGTGAGTATGGTTTAACGCCGCTTTTAGCAACATTCCAGCAACATCACGGCGGGGGACACCAGAAATGGGCTTCACACAATGTACCCATGTCGGGAATCGAACCCGGGTCCCGCGAGATGGAAGCGTTTTGCCCAACAGTGTGTACGTGAATTCGATAAGTTCTGTGGCGGTAGTGTCATGGTGTGTGTGTGTGGGGGGGGGGGATCAGGGTTCAGGGAAATTTGACAGCATATCGCTACATGAGTCCAACCTCACCTTATTCCAATCATTGACTGCCAGAAGGGGCTGTTTCAAAAGGGGAAAGCCCTACGCCGCACACAGCTCGTGTCACGGTAGACTACCCTCATAATGTCAACATCAACGACTTGCCCTGGCCGTCGAGATCGCCAGATCTCAACCGAATCGAACACCTCTCGGATGAACAGCAGAATGGCGTACACTTATTCAGTCAGTGCTGATGAGATGCAGAGCCGTGATTGCTGCCCGGGGCAGTCACACGAGATACTGAGTTCAGCGCAACCGTGTGGCCTTATGTGACATGACAATGAACAGTTTCCAATGCCTTTGTACAAAGACAACCTGTGACTATCGAGCCCCAAAATTTCATATTTTGATATTAAATTAAATATATCGACTTTATAGGTACAATAAATTTACCAAAAATCTACTTGCGGGTTTCTTTTTTTGAAGAGTGTATGTTAATTGTCATGAAAGTAATTATGCACATTACAGTTATACATATACACTGTTATAAGCTTCCCTTACAACATAGAAATATGAGGGGATACCTTAAAATCAGAGGATACGACCTTTGAGACCATCATTATCCCAGAACTGAATGAATGGAATGGTTCAGTATTAACAGAGAAAGAAATGAAGGGTGTATAAGTCAATATAGCTTTTTTATTGGTATATAAAAGGTTGGTCAAATAATAATAATAAGTAATTACATATAATTGATTATCATAACTGTCTTCGGAAATATTATTCATTGTGTACTTGTGAAATAGAGTTGACTAGTGGGAGATGTAAAGGTTAGCCGTTATTGTAGATACAAACCGTTGCACCGATTACAGTCGACTAACATCTAGTTTTTTACAGAAAAAAAGTTGTTAAATAATAGTTATTAAATGTATTTAATAATATAGAGCCGAGAGACTTTCTTCTTCAGTAATCTAGGCGTGCCAAATATTATAGTGAGTGAGTGAGTATGGTTTTACGCCGCTTTTAGCAATATTCCAGCAATATTCACACATTGTACCAATGTCGGGATTCGAACCCGGGTCTTCGGCGTGACGAGCGAACGCTTTAACCACTGGGCTACCCGACCGCCCCCCAAATATTATAGACTTCTATTGGCTCTAATGAATATATTTGTTTTGGGTCTGTAGGACAGACTACGATTATAGCATAGTCTGTTTGTTCAAGCAGGAATGTACATGGGGTGTTATGTAACAATTCTCTGTCTGTATTCTAATGTAAGTGGGGTAAATATCTACCACATATATGCAGCATTATGGACACAGGTATTCATCGGCCATTTAGCTACTGTCATCTGTAACCCGTGAAGACCCGGGTAGAATAGGTCTTCAGCAACCCATGCTTGCCGTAAGAGGCGACTAACAGCAATATTCTAGCTACATGAGGGCGGCCTGTAAATAATCGAGTCTGGACCTGACAATCCAGCGATTGACATCATGAACATCGATCCACGCAAATGGG